CAACCAGTACAGCAGCAACCAGTACAGCAGCAACCAGTACAGCAGCAACCAGTACAGCAGCAACCAGTACAGCAGCAACCAGTACAGCAGCAACCCGGACAGCAGCAATTCGTACAGCAACAACAACACGTACAGCAGCAATTCGTACAGCAGTATCCTGTACAACAACAACAACAACAACAACAACAACAACAACAACAACAACAACAACAACAACAACAACAGCGTCCCGGACAGCTGCAGCACCCTGTCCAGCAGCTAAACCCTATGCAGCAGCAGCGGCCCATGCAGCAACAACCGGTGCAACAGCTGCGGCCTCAATATGCACCATCAGTGAGCGCCTCTAATGCATCCATTGCTTCAGAGGCGTCAACCCCGGTGTATCAAGTCCAATCCGGATCTCAAAGCCTATTCACCGGGCTCCCTGGACCATTCGGACGCGCGTCTACAGATGCTGCAGCACAGCAGAAAGATAGCCAGGGATCGCGATGGAAAGGACTCAAAAACCGAATGAGCGAGCAGATTTCGCAAAGGTCGCAGCCACAGCCGCAGCAGCAGCAGCAGCAGCAACAGCAGCAGCAACAAAACATGAACCAGGGCCAGAACAAGATTGCTGTTGGAGACAAGATTAAGGGCAACAAGTTACTAGGCGCTCTGAGACGTACATCGAAACAGCCAGAACTCAACCAAAACCAGGCCAACGTCCAACCATCTCCCAACTCCAGGCAGCTTCCCAACCCGATCCCACAGCCTCATCCCCAGGGATATCAGCCGCAACCCGGACAGCTGCAGGGCCCCCGGCCTAATGGCATGCCTGCCAACGCTCAACACTTGCAGCCATCTATGCAGCCGCCCAATATGCCGAGGGCAAAGACTATGCCTCCTGGGCCCCCACAACAGAATGCCCCCCCTCGAGACCAGACACGGTCATCAGAGCCGCGTTATGAAAGCGTCCCTATTCCCAGAGGGTATTCGGCGGTCCACGGCGAGGGCATGATGGTACCATCGCCATACCAACCGAATGTTCGACGCCAATTCGGCCCCCTGCCACCCCAGCAGCAGCAGCTACAGCAACACCCTCACCCTCATCCACAGATGCAACGACAATGGCAGGGTGGTCATCCCCCGCCCATGTCTCTGCAGCCTCAACCAACTCAATTCCAAGGAAGCCCTCGGATGATTCAAGGTCCCCAGAACGGGGGGCCGGGTCATATGAGAGCTCCATCTGACTCACGATCCGATTATCTCAAACCCCAGAGCCCTGAGTCATTCAATACTCAATCGAGCCGGCACAACAGACATAGTTCCCAAGGTAGCCAGAATAGTAGGGCTGAGCCACCACGGCCTGCCAGTGACATGGGCAGCAACCTGGGAATGTCACATCCCGGTAGCCCTCAGCCGTCTGAAAAGGGAAATCTATCTGTCGTGGATCGTCCTCGCTCCGCTTCGCGGAGTCCCGCTGTCTCGGTTGGGGCTGATCAGAAGCCTGACTTGGATCCTAGCCCAAAGCCAGATGGAACAACTGATTCAAGCCGGGCGTCGAACCTTGGCATAGATGTAGAGAAAGCCCAGCAACTAGTGGAAGACGACCTTTATTCTGCTACACCCAAGGTTGTACCAGCAGTGGCAGGAGATGCTAGTAACCCACCTGCCGCATCTCAATCAGCATCAAATGAGCAGGCGGAAAGCTCTGCAATGGCAGCGGCCAAGGCCGTCGTCGTACCAGCAAACGCTGGTGCGATGGCAGAGCTAGAAGACACGGAAGAAGCACGGAAGCGAGCCATAAGGCTAGCATCGCAGGAAGAAAAGATCTTTTACGAGCCAGAGGATTACGAACCCAAGATGAGCGCAACGAGCTATCCTGGACAAGAGTGGAATCCTTTTGGCGAACCGGAATTTGCAGACTGGAAGGAAGATTGATGAAGAAGATTGCATTTGTTTATACGGGTATATAAGATACGATGTGGAAGAGTGTTTCCCACTTTTCGTTTGTTCGTCTTGATCCAGCTCTGTAATTCTCAGCGGAGCACGCGCGTCGTTTCAGATACCCCATTCACTTTCATTTGTTCGGACATATTGATGAGAGCAATTGCTCGAGGAATATTGGTGCCACAGCAGAGACTGTTGATTTACGATCGTGTAGATAAAACACATAAGAGAAGACGTGTATAGCAGAACACGTTAATAATATTTGACATATTTGACTAATTTTTTAATCTTCTGTTTCTTCAATTTTCCTTCAACTTGCCTCTCTACTTTTTCGTTCAGTGAGCAAGCAAAGCCATACTGGGTGTTAATGGTGATGTTCGTCATCATGATCAGTAATAAACGCTTAGGTAACGAGGCGGCACCCTCGGCGAGAATGAAAATGATGACGAAATTGGGGTGGTTGAGGCTAGCACAGCGCCTTGTATGAAGTGGGAAATTAATGCAACATAGTGCTGGTATCGAAAGACGGATGTACCTACCAGGTAAACAGTAGCGGTATTTCCAATCTGCGGGGAAAGCGAGTCGTGTGTATGGAATCTGAAGTGCGTGCCTGAATCTGGCAATTCGATTTGGGCGGGAGAGTTGGAGCTAGTCGATGGGCGTGGGAGCTCCGATTGTTGACCTGTTGTGTTTCATTCGACTCTCTCTCTCTGTGTCATCTTTCTGTTTGCCGTTGTCTAGAGTAGTATTGCTCTGTGTTCTCTCGGCGCTTGGATCATTACGAGCAGGTATCTCGTATGTAGAGTGTGATGGGTCAATTACGAGGTGCCATACGAAGTACGAAGCCCCTACTGATACGGGGAGTATCGTTTCTGGCCACTCGTTTCTACCCTTGGAGGAACAGCTTACTCGTGCTAGTGCCCTCCGTGTATGCGGCTAGCTTGGGATCGTTGCAAGTATGGAGAGTACTCCGTAAGCCGTTCCTATGCAGATAAATGACGACATGTTTCATGGTTTGTGCTGTGTGCCTGTGCATTAGAGCTACCAGGGTTCTCGTAGGCGCGTAATGTGCCTGATGATCCTCGCCGGCTTTGGGTAGTAGGTTCGTCGATGGCTGCTGTGGAAGAAGCACTTGCTAAGCGCCAGCAAATCGTGGCACAACTGCAGCTGAGCTTTGATGAAGATGGGAATGTGTTAGTTTGGAGACAATAGCCGTTGCCTGTGGCAATTGGCTGGGTGAGGCGGGAAAGTGACCCTTTGTTGACTGATGCTGTGATGCTGATTGAGTGGGATGGGTTGATTCAGTAGCGGAGTGATGGAGGATACAGGACCTATTGGCCCTTCTTCTTCTTTGCCCTGTTCTTTGTTCTATTCTTTGTTCTATTCTTTTTTCTATTTTTTTTTTTGTCCTTCTCCCTTCTATCGTTCTTTGTCTTGTGGAAGATGGGATGCGCAGCTGATGAGTTGTTCAAAGTAAGTAAGGAGCTGGTGATACTATGCAAAGGCTGGACAAAGAACAACCGCCAACTATGTCGTCCATGTGACTTCTTCCCGTTTCTCTCTTTTCCTTCCTTCCAAGCTGTGCTCAATTTGATGCTGCTGTAGTATGATGTATAAAAGAGCATATTCCCTACCTCCAAATGAGGCTGACCAAACCCTCCCTCAGAGCTTTTCACGCACTTCAACTCTGGGTCCCAGAACCGACTGTAAGGCTTCAGAACCAATATTAATGTGCTTTTTTGCTGATAGTAACTTCAGTTTTTATAACAGCTCTCATTTGGCCAAAAGATCGCTTCAATATGGACAAGAGGAAGAGAGGAAAGGATGATGAAACAGGAGGATATAAGCGCGTTCGAATTGACTTGGAAAGTCTACCTGCGCATCTAACATCTATTAGCCAAATGTTTGGCGGCGTGGAACTCAGCTCGGACACCAAAACCACTCTTTGTGAAACCATTGCCAGCTCTAGAGAGAAGCTAGTCAATGGGGATCCAGTTGACGGGGTCGACATTCTCAAGAAAGGCATTTTTTCATTGCATTGTGCTCCAGATGTTGTCTTCAAGTTCTCGGACGGCGACGGATTAGAACTGAGATCTCGCTGGCATCGTGCCATGCAAAGTTTCGCCAGTATACATAAACAGCCTAAGTTTGACTCGCTTGTTTTCCCTCGGCAGACTCTCTTCGAACTGCAAGTCAATGGCAAAGAGGGTATAGTCATTGCCGAGGAACGATTGCCACTGGCCAACAACTATTTGGTACATAAGCAACGTTATGAGTCGCTCGGTTCACGCCTTGAACCCGCACTTCGAAACCTCACAAAATTCATTGTCCTCAGTGGCTTTAGTCGGGTGGAATTCAAGACCATCCCGATTCTCCACAAACAAGAGCTGGAGCCTGGGGCCAACCCGAAGATTGGCCTGGTGAACCTCGGCAGCTGTGGCGGTATTCATGGAGAGCATGCCCGGAAGACTTACCATGACGCTTTCTTTGGAAACGGCCAGACTTCGCGAGGCTTGTTCCGATGTATCGCTCCAGAGCACTTTGCCGTAGTTAAAAGCGAAGCGTCAAAGCACAAGGTGACCTTTAACGAAAAGATGTATTTTGATGCTCGGAAAGTCCGCCGTGATGATCTTGAAGAGGCTCGTCACAATCTTGAGCTCGCCAGTGAAAACGACGCCTATGAAAACAGAGCTAAGAGCATATTTGAAGCTGTTGCGACGGCCCTATCCGTGGCTATTCCGCCGACCTTGGAGATTATCACCAATCGTCTTGACGCCCTCGATGAGAAACAGCAACTATTCATGGCAACTCGGTGGTTCAGGGTTAGGTCCATCGATCAACCAGATCTTATTTTGCGTGGCGTCATGGTATTAGACCCTGAAAATAGATCGCGGGCGGCGCTGAGCATGTCGATCCAAGGGAGCATCGCATCCTCATTAGCAGATACTACATCCCTTCGCCGGCACTTAGGCCACTTTTGCTGCATGGACTTGATAAATCGAGAGCACACACCAGAAGAGAGTAAACCATTACTTAGCAGGCTGCCAGATGAAGAGGGGCTTTTTTTACATCATCTTAGCGGACTACCCTTTCATCCAAGGCGACGACTTGCCCGCAGTTGGCAGACTGAAGGATGCGAGATACTTGCACCAACTCATGGGCTCCCTTTAGCGCTCCGTGGTCGATGAGTGCTACATACATAGCTACATGCAATAGCGTAGATTGAATGATGCAGCATCTGTTTAGAACGCAACACGTTCAAAGCCTTGGGGACACTCGCTTCGCCTTTGAGACGTGAAGTCGGTAAGAATGAGCACATGTACAGATAGTATACTGGTAGTAGTAGGTCCATGTACATAGCATGTAACGCTAGACATTGAATGCTCGTACTGCACTCGGTAATATAAGCTTCGAGCTGTTGATACCTGTAGTATTAGGTATTGGTCTTTTTGATATTTGATGCTGCTGGGGCATCAAAGCCGAGTTCGAGGCGGGTCAGCCCAGTGCGGCTAGCTCGGGATCGTGCAAGTGAAGGTAAGCCGTTTCCTGTCTTATGCAGCCAAATGATGGCATGCTTTGGAGTTACGAGGGCCTCGTACCTGCTACTGACGTGATACGAGACGGGGCCGCTCAATGTGCCTGATGATCCTCGTCGGTTTCAGGTAGTGGCTTCATCAATGGCGTTGCGAAAGGGACAGATTTGATGGATCTAATAAAGCTCCGTGCAAGCACTTGTTGGAAGCGAGCAAATAGTCGCACAGCCGCAGCTGAAGCTTGTACTCGTATCTATTAGATGTAGGTACGGAGTACTTGTAGGAGCAATGACACCTGCTGTTAGTGGACAATGTGAAAAGGACCTTTATTGATGGGAGATGCGTTGGTTCGGGGACAATAGCTGTTTCTGTGGCAGTTGGGTAGTAACGCGGGGAGAGGGGGCCATCTGTTGACTGATGCTGCGATACTGATTGAGTGACCGAGCAATGGGGAATCCTGGATCAATTGGCCCTTTTGCTTCTTTCTGTTGGGGTGATTTGATGCGTGTCTGATGTGTTGTTCGAAGCAAGGAGTTGGTGATTCATACAAGAACGCAAAGTCAGTAAGAGCTACCTAGTAGTAGGTACTAGTAGGCGTGCGGTAGGCAGCAGGTCTAGTATACAAGACATCAAATAACACATCCAACGGATACTTGTACTGTGCCCGGTAATTGGTAGTAGTAGTTGAAGCTTCAACACGGCTGACACCAGTACAGTAGTATCTGATATTTGATCCAACGCTTCTGGGGCAGAGACAGAGACCACAGAAAGATGCCGGGGGCGGACTAGAAGGCGGGTCTGCCTGGGGGCCCCTGTAGCTGGGAACACCTGACGCGCTTTTCCAGGGCTTGGGTGCGCTGTACGCGCTGTAAGGAGCAGCAGCTCGACGTGCCATTATGGAGCCGGACGCATGTACGATATGTACATGTATGTACATGTGATGTATCCAGCAGCTGCATGCTCCTTTTAATGGCTGCAGGTTCCCAGCAAGTACATAACTCGTACATGCAACTCTGGAGGCATCCAATTGCCCCCGTTCCAGTTCCTAACTGAGCTGATACAGGTACCAGACGACATTACCGCACGGCATTTGCAAGCTTGAGCTTTGACCTTTTTAGCCGCCCGTTAAGGTGTTTCTGCAAGGGGGGAAGGATAAGAGTGTGCAGGTGATATTAAAAAAAAAAAAAGGAAAAAAAGAAAAAAGAAGAGCAAAATGATCGAGACCGGTGCCAAGAACTTGCGCAAGCGGCCGGGTACAAAGTACATGCGCCAATACGGAGCTCTAGCTGTAGCGTCCCTTGCTGCTAAAGTACCCGGTACGAGGCACTAGTGCGTGAATACGGGAGCGGGCCCTAGCGTCAGCCATTCGTCATATGTGTTCAGCTTGTTCAGCTTGTGACTGAATGTCTCGACAGCGAAAAGTACATGCAGTATCCAATATGCGAGTGCCTACCTAAGTACTACACTCATAATTACTGAGGAGAATAGGTAAGAAGAAGAAGAAAGAAAGAATTGAGATGCACGAGAACGGACCAGAGATAAGATACTGTATGCACACTCTCGCCTCGACTACCGAATCCAGCAAGGCATCCGGTCTTTTTGGAGAAGTACTGCCTAATGCGGGTTAGGGTTATCGGGGAGCGTCGCAAGCAACAGGTGCTTTTGTATTGTACCTATTGTACCGAGCACCTTTACTTTGCAGGTACCTTGTTGCACTTTCGCATCTGCAGTTCTAAGCGAAAGCACATCACATCAATACTGCACCGTATTCCCCTCCCCGGCTTCTACTTACAGCCAGTACTTTTTGATTCTCGACAGCTTCATCCTGTCCTTTGGCCTGGCCTTGTCACTGTCACTGCATTGCCTTCTTCTTGTCACTCCTCCTTCAATGCTACTTATAGCACTGACAGCCACGGAACAGCGATACTTGATAATATATTCCCCAAAGAACACAGCTGTCAAGTCCAAACCACGAGGAACAAAAAGCTGGGGGCCCTGCTGCCAAACGCGCGATCCCTTGACTCGCCTCTTGTTCCGCCTTGCCCCGGCTATCTTGGATGTACCAAGCAATCCATGTGCCTCGTGGAGCTGCGTTGCTGCATCAGATTCCCCACCAGCTAGGCCAGAGCTGCCCTTGGCGATAAAAGAGCCAACCGGACCAGCAGACCAAGTCGACCGAGGAGAGGAGAAGCCTAAACCTGGCAAACTCCAGATCGGCTGGGCCGCTTTCGATTGACGTATGTATGTGCACGTCAACCTATCATTGCATTTCGTGTCGTAGTCACCATGGCAAAGGGTCCTCTAGCCGTACTAATACTGATACTTGGCGGCTCCTACTAGAACGTTATTATATTATCAAGCCTCTTCCCCATCTCCATCTCCATCTCACATCATCCACATCCCAGCTGCCGCTCTCGTGCTCCTCCCGTCGTCCTTCTCCTCACTTTCGGGCACGGCATCACCAAGACCAGCAGCGACATCGAACCGGGGGCTCGAATTCTGCCGAGTGACACTCCGCCACCGGGCCTTGTCAAAAGCCCACTCCATTGGACGGAAACAAGGCTTGAGCGTGGCGCTGCCGCTCTCTGGTATCCTGCCCACCTGGAGACTGGCACCATCACAGGAGCTAGCACTCGACTAGTACCTGCTAAGTACTGGCAGACTGGGTAGTCCAGTGCGGCTCGACCAAGGGAACGAGTCCTGGCGGCCCTTTTTTCGCCTCCCGCGCAAAGGAAAAGGCGCCATTGGGGGAACAAGGCAAAACGACTCGCAGAGGGAGGCTATTCGCCCGCTCCCTCTTGAACCCGCAAGCACCCCTCACGATACGCCTGCTTGCAGTTCCGTTTCTTCTCTCTGCTCTGCTTGTCGAGTGCCAATATCAAACCTCTTTGCGAGAAAAGAAGAAGCCCGACACGAGCATCACCAACCCGAAGAGAGAGCAAGCCCAGCCGCAGCAACGAGACGGCGCCGTACTCGTATACAGTACGCGCCCTAGACCCTTTTTCGGCACCCTTCCCACGCCCGTTTTTTATTGCACATCCTTGGCTTGTGCGCTGCCAAATCTTGTCTCTACCGTGCCGCGCTTCCTTTTTCCTTTTTCCGACCGACCTCCTTTATTACTCGACTCCGTAATCCGGCTTCCGTCGACGCCGACTTAGCTCTCTCTGTTCCTTGATTTTTTTTGTTTCTGGTTCTTGCCAGTCTCAGTCTCAGTCGCAGACTCAGTCGCTCTCCGTCACTCTCTGTTAGGTCTTCTCTATCAGATCAGCCTCTCGCTCACTTTCTTTCCCCATTCCTACCGGCCTCCGCACGACCGTCTGCGCGCGTGCGACGCCACATAACGCTTGGTGCCATTTCTCAGCTTTTTCGTCTTCTCTGCCTTTCCTTTTGGATTCTTTTTCTTTTCGATACCTGCATAGTACATCCTTACGCACTATACCCGACTGTACCGTACACTATATTATACTTTTTGCAACCTACAACTTTTTATTATTCCGATTGCGGCCAGCGACAAGCCAGTGCTGGACTCTAGCTTGTTAGCTCCTCTACCGGTCTTCAAACTTCTTTTTCTCCATTTTCCTCTCGACTTTTCCTCCTCCATCCTAGAAGAGGACATTCCAAATCGACTTTTTTCCCTCCATCTACTTCTTCTTCCGCCGACAGCGACACAGCGAACACGAATACGGAAGACGCGGACGGCGACAACAGTGACGGCATCGCCTGCCGAAAATACCGAGTGAGGGAGATAGCCCAAAAGGAAGGAAACGCTCGGCTCATCTAGCCTTCGGCTTCGAGGAAGCATCAACTATGGATTCGTACGTCATACATGCATGCATCGTCCCTCTTTCCCTCTTCCGCCGCCCCTGCCCTATGATTCTTGCCCGCATCGGTTTATTCCGAGTCTAATATTGCCCTTTTTGATTTTTTTTCCATTTTCGATTTTCCTATTATTGATTTTTGATCTTCTGTTTCACTCTTCCGCATTCCAACCTCTTGTCGCATCTTCATCATTTTTCTTTCTTACCCCGTGGATCAATTTTTTTTTTTTACGAATGTCTCAGCTTCGCGAGATGCAAAGAAGCAATGGAACATCCTACTAACAACTTAATCTCCAGCTTTATCCACGTTGCCGGCTGGTCTCAGCACTTTCCCTCATCGTCAGCCAGATCACTCAGCCACCTCCGGTCAATATCAACTGTGCCAGGAACTAGTGACGATTCATCGTCAACATACAGGCCTCGACCGCCGCCCAAATCGCCGTCGGTTTCGAATCTACCCATCATTTCATTCGCGTCAAGAGCTGCCTCATACTTCCCCTCCCACGAGATGAGCACACTACCCGATCCGCGAACGCGAACTGTCTCCTCGTCTAGCAACGGACTCAGGCCTTCGACTGCACACCCGGACCTAAACAAAAACGATAGCGATGGTGCTTCTACCAACTCTCAGCATCCCGGGCTCAGTGACGAAGTTGCTACTCTCAGCACAAAACTCATCAACGCCATCAACCACCAAACTGCACTTGATGATACACTATCAGCGACTCGTCACGAGCTCGAGAATTCCCACGGACGCATCCGCGAGCTGGAGGCTCAGATTGCCTCTCAGCGCGAGATGATGGCCGGCGATGTCTGGATCCGCAGGACAACGTTGGAAAGCGAGCGAAAAGCCTGGTTGACGGAGAAGAAGGCAATAGAAAAGAAGCTGTCCGAGGAGACAACAGGCCGGATAGAAACAGAGAGAGAGAAGCGTAAGATTGAGCAGGAGCTGGAGAATCTCACAACGGCTCTCTTTGAGGAGGCAAACAAGATGGTCATTGCTGCCAAGGAAGACGCCCAGTTCCAGCATGACGTCTTGCAGAAGAAGAATGATCAGCTCAAGGCTCAGCTTGCAGATTCCGAGAGCCTTCTCAAGTCTCAGCAGGAGCAGCTTTCCGAGCTGAAGCACGTCCTCGAGACCATGGTGATGGAGCGCGACGACCAGAGCAACAACAACACGACCCCGTCAACTCCCGGTGTCGAAGCCAAGGAAGAAGATAAGTCTCTCCAGGAGAAGCCAGTGGCATCTACTCCAGGACACCACGCCGAAACACACCATACTCCGGCCCCTCCGACCAGCCTTACCCATCTTATCCAACCTGTCTTACGCACCGATATTGCTGGATATGAGGATTTTGTCGCTCTCGCTCGTCTTTCTCACCAGCGTCCTGGAAACCGTGGATCCGCTGGCTCTATCGGTGGATTCATCGGGCTCGGCGGTTCAACCTCCAGTGCTCATCTCTCTAATGCCTCTACCTCGTCGTTGAGCGCCTTCTCAAACCTCGCTCCAAGCAGTAGCAGCAGCACACCGCAATCTCCAAACGCAAACGCCAACGCATCCGCATCCATCACCAGCGCCACATCGACCCCTTCGACGATTCCTCAACTCAAGGAGACTCGCTTTTTCAAGCGCGCTCTGACCGAAGATGTTGAGCCTACACTGCGTCTTGATGCCGCTCCAGGATTGTCGTGGCTAGCTCGCCGCACTGTCTTGGCTGCCATGGCCGATGGCTCGCTTGTGGTTGAGCCAATCCCAGCGCCGCCGACGACTCCAAGCTTCCTTCCCGTGCCCAAGCCGCAGTTTTATCCTTGCTCTTTGTGTGGCGAGAGCCGCAAAGACGCAGAGTATCTGCGCAACTACCGCTTCCGGACAAGCGAAGCTGATTCTGCGCAGCGATATCCTCTTTGCGGTTACTGCACCGTCCGCGTTCGATCCACCTGCCAGTTCCTGGGATTCCTTCGTATGGTCAAGGACGGATACTGGAGGGCCGACGATGAAGAGAACGAAAAGGCGGCCTGGGAGGAGAGCGTGCGTCTGAGGGAGCAAATGTTCTGGGCTCGCTTGGGAGGTGGTGTTGTTCCCGTTTCCCATGGGGAGACACACGTGGAGGCGTCCCATAGCCGTCAGCCAAGTCAGGAGCGGACTATCAACGCCCCCGTTGATGTGACAACCAACGTTGATGTTCCCGCCGACGTTCACGTTCCCGCCGATGTGGAGATCCCACCCGAAGCTGATGTGCCGACTGAGGCTGATGTCCAGACCGATGTTGATATCCCAACCGACGTTGAGACGTCAACCGACGTTGATGCATCTACAGACAAGGAGGAAGACGCCTCTGTTGCTGACACCAGCTTCGACACAGCTCCTCCCTCAGAAATTGAGGACGATGACACCAGCGAGTTCGACTTGGAGCGCCGCGTTTCTACGGATGAACCTCACACACCCCCGGACCAGACTGATGGCACGAAGCCTCTCCGCTACTCAGTTCAGTCCCTGACTCTGAGTGCTATTAGCACCTCGGGATCTGAGGCCACCAAGCGCCTGTCTACGACTACCGTCATCGAGAACTAAAAAAAAAATAACAAAAAAGAACGAAAACCAAAGAATCACAAATGGCTTTCTGAAAGATTCCCCCTTATTTTATACTATTTTTTGTAATGCTTTCGTCGCCTCTTTTGGCTATAATGTATATGTATATTAATCAACGGCGAGGTGACGTCATGGCCTTTCACCCACAGAGAAGCCCGAAGATTTGGATGGGATTGGGAGGAGGCAGGGGAAAGGGACGTTAGAATGGCAAGCATATTTGGCAATGGCTGGAGGCAAACGATTTGAATGCTGACAAGGAAACAAAAGAAAAACACAGGTCAAGTATGATGGCGTTTTTTTTCATTTTCAGGTTGGACACGATGGATACAGGGCCTTTGGGAAGAACAGGCGAAATTGGGCTAAAGGGCATCATTTTAGCTCCTTCGTTCTTCTCCTTTTTTCATTTCACAGTTTTTTCTTTTACGAATTCTTCCGTCTCCCTTGGATTGGCCCTCTTCTGTTTTTGCTGTTGTTTTTTTCTTACACTCTTTTGATTTTCTCGCCTTTTTGACTGCTATTGCTTTTAACTGTCATCATTTGGAGCGGGCGCAATGCGGAAAGCATTTAGGGAATGCACGTTTGTGCACCTTGCCAATTTCATTTTGCCATTACTAGAACAAGGGCCAAGAAGAGTTTTATTTCCTGGAGACGGAGAAGGGAAGAGCCGTCGAAAGCGGCTTCTTTACGGGAATCCATATACCTAATGAGATAGATGTATTAGAACAAAACATGGTATCTTGATATTATTTAACTTTTACCCTGGCAACGTGACTAGCTGTACGACAACATATCTCCTTTGATCTAATGTTTACTGAAAGAAATCGAGAATGTTGGAAACAATAACATCCGGTATCTCCTCTGGGATGAAATGGCCAGAGTCGACAGCTTCCACTTCGACAGGCACACCTTCGGCTGTAACTTTCGTCCACTCCTCCTTTCCGTCAAAGAGACGGTTGACAATGCCATTCTTGCCCAGCAAGACCCTAATTGGTGATTGAATCAACTTCCCCTTGGCGAGATCATCCTTTTGTTCGTCAAGGTCATGCGTAGCGGCGGCCCGGTAGTCCTGGCAAGTGGCGTGAACGTAGTCCTCATCTTCCATACACTTGATGTACTCCGCCAGGGCATCCTCGTGGAAAATGGAAAGACTCTGGGACCCCATGCCAGACATGAACCCCTCAACGACCTGGCGAGGAGCCCCGTTGATGAGGGTTTCGGGAAGAGGGGACTGCTGGATCAGGAAGTACCAGTGAAAGTAGGCCTTTGGGAAAAGGGGGTTTGTGCAGTTGTACATTGCTAAGGTAGGGCATATGTCCAGGAGGATGGCCTTGAGGATGCGCGTGGGATGATCGACGAGGAGCTTGTGAGTGATACGGGCACCACGATCATGGCCGCAGACGTAAAAGGGCTGGTTGGCATAGCCAAGGGCATCCATGACGGCGATGCAGTCGTTGGCCATGTGGCTCTTTGCGTAGAGAGCAGTGTTGTTGGCGGGCTTGGAAGAGGCGCCATAGCCGCGAATGTCCATTATAACAAGGGAGAAGTGAGACGTAAGCTGACTTGCGACAGCGTGCCACATATGATGCGTCTCTGGGTACCCGTGCAGCAGAAGAAGGGGAGGCAGGGAAGAAGATGAATCAGACGACCGAATACCAGAGATGGAGACATCGGGGGAGGATTGTGTCTGCACGGTAAAAGGAGTAAAGGTGGAGGGGAATAGAGTGGAAGTGGCAGCCATTGTGGTGGTGGACGAAGCAGTGATGAAGTTGAAATGAATTTGAAAATGAGAAAAGGTCTAAGGAGCAAATGATGGCCTGCAATATACCTATATATACCGAGGCTAACTATGCCGTGAGACGTTGAAAAAGTATGATCAAAGTCAACATCAGGAGAGGATTCTGATCAAGGCATCGAGATGCCTCGGGCATTTTACTGCTTGGAGGGGCTGCTGCATGAATAATACAAGTACCAATGCCACATGCAGCGCTCCGCTGAACCACTCCACCAACGATGCCGAGCTCTGGGGTAATGCGTACGGGAACTGCTAGCGGCCCAGAATAGCGTATCGAAATACGTGCGTCATTCGCTCTTGTGCACTTGTCATGGAGGCGACGCAGGCGAAGATAACGAGTGAAGAGGGGGCCTGTTAGTCTAGCACAACGTATGTCAGTATTATGTGTGAAATCCGCTGTACGGAAGAGGAAGACGCATGCACTTTACCAAGGTACATGCAGCATGTAGTAAAGTTCGGATCTTGTTCCGAGCTTCGAAAGCCCGTTACGGGCAGCTCACCGGTAGTGCAAAATTCAAACATGGCGAGAAAACGGAATTCTGTCTCCGAGGATGAAAGAGGAGAGAGAGAGATTCTAATTCAAACTTTGATTTCTTTCTTCTTCATAATCCGTGATTTTAGTCGCTGGGTGCTCCTTCCGTTTAACACTGACTGCTCAAAGCCAAATGTCACGGTGATGCAACTTCAATGTTCCGAAACCGAAACTGTGAGCCATCGGCCCATCTTTTAGCCGCCCCCAGAAGGGTTCTCTTTCCTCCGCCCTGTTGCCAATCAATTGTCTACTAAACCCACACTCCTAGCACTCGATCCAACTCACCATTCTTCACCTAAACGCAACATTCCCCCATCTGCTTCCCTGCAGACAAGGCTCAGCAGGGCCTAGACCCAGACGTTTCCGGTGCGGGATCATGAGTTGAAGCACCTACGAGGCCGCGCCCACCCATCGTCATATCCGGCCCCACTTGCGGCAGACTCTCTCACATGGCTCCGGTCCGTGGCCGCGCAGCCTGCGATGGTTGTAGATCTCGAAAGCAAAAGGTGAGCAAAAAGACTGTGGAAACTGGCGGTGAGAGATTTGAGATGGATGTACTGATGTATAATCAACTCTTCGCTGCAGTGCGATGAAAAAAGGTGAGCATATACATCTTAAACACAGTTCAATGGGTCATCAAGATCTCATATCTTATTTCTTTCATTCATTCACCTGTGTAATGAGAATGAGGATCACGATTAACCTCCTTCTATAGACCGACTTGTTCGCGATGCCGTGATATGAAGCGGGAATGCGTGTGGCCCAAGCTATACAAGCGGTAAGATGCAGCGCCAGCTCAGTAATCAATATCTCATCAGCGGACTCCTTTGATCTGACGGCACATCTCAGTGGTCCTGCCAAGGGTTACATCGAAGCGCTCGAGCATCGTCTTGCAGTTACCGAGGCAGTGCTCCTGCAGCTCCTCCAAGTGTCAGATGACACGGTCCTACAAGACGCTTTCAAGCACGAGCCCAGCAAGAGGACAGACGTTTTAAGTACAACTGCCGCCGCGACAACGACTGACGCGGCTGGCCGAATAGAGGCCAAGAAAACGGGCACAATCGCCCACTGGGACAACTTCCCTTTAAATACAGCAGACGAGGTAAAGCGCTGGGCAGGCGAAGTCCTCGGGCGCCCAACGGTATCAGACGACTTGGAGACGAACGGAACGGCCCGTGAAGACACCGATCCGAGGTCTTTCGAGACATATCCCGTCCCGCCAGAGCCGCTGTCAAGAAATCTGCCCGAGGTGAGCTCGAGAGCTAGTACCGAGGCGTTTCCACCACGGCCGATGGAAACAACTCCAACTGCTACGGCTCTTCCCACGGCTGTAGAGCCTGCCATGGCTTCTGGCACGGCTTTTGCAAGAGGAGTGGCATCAGACGAAGTGTTTGATTTGTCCCAAGACTTTAGACGACAATTTGTATGGTAGTTTTTATTTTTCTCGTTTCCAGTTCATATACCACTATATATATTCATGTGCTCGTTTGTGAAATGCACTTTTTATGTTACGATTATTCCCACGTAAACGATTGTGCATGCGGTCAGAATCAATCATGTTGAAAATTCATGGCAACATCCAGCCCAAATCCCACATCGTGACGCCCAAACATTACAAATTATACAGCATAAAATCAAAAGAAATTACGTTTTCACTTACACATTCAATCTGTCTCCCATGTTCTGAAAATATGTGTCCCATCCGGCATTGTTGAACAATAGCCCTGACGATTCCGGGTTCATGTTCTCGCTCAAGAATCGCTCCCACTCCCCTTGCTGGGAGAATTGATCTGCGTCGAATCCGAAATCTGGTCCCGTGTACTCCAAAACAGGCTGGAAGCTCGGGTAGTCCCAGAGGTTGTCGCCGCCCATGAATTCCGTGTCAGGTCCAACAAAGTGGTTCGCAGGATAGCCGTTCATGGAACCCATAAAGTTATTGTTGATGTTGTTGACGTTGTTGTTGTTATTGTTGTTTTTAGTGTTGTTCTGGTCAACTCGTCGCCGCTTGTTGCGGCTTCCCTCGAGAAGGTTCTGGTATGTTGAAAAGACAGGCTGGCTCCAGTCCGTCAGTACGGCGAACGACGGGTCTGCCGATAGCGCTGGGTTGATTTTTTCCATGAACGGCTTCGATGTTAATCTGTCCAGCAGCATCTTTAACGTCACACGGCAGTGGTGGGCGCTGGTCCAATTTCGACTCATCATGCCAAGGAGCTTTATGGCACAGTTGAGATCCCTGCGGTGAAGAAAATGGTTAGCTTAACCCAGTGGCGACGGACGAAGTGACCAAGAGCTCGGGGGGAAAAACAGTCGTAACATACAAGATAGTCTTCTCCATTGGGTAGAGCTTTAGCAATCCGGCGTAGGAAATGACAAGCCCTGCCATCCACGCAGCCGACAACATCCCCGGCCAGGCCACCAAAGGTGAATCCCCTTGGCGTAGTTTAAGCTTCTTGACAATGGCTCGACTGGCATTCACCGCGGTCTGCAAACTAAATTGAAAATCCGTTCGATTCGTCGGGAGAGAAAGGAAAGGCCTGTTCATGATGAGGATGAGCTGATGGTATAATATCGCAAAGGGAGGTCCATGATGGGATTGTGGCTCTACAAAGATCGACGTAAGTCCCTCTCCCTGGAACGATGGTGGAAGCGTATTCCACCAGGCATGAATCCTCGACGTCATCTCAAGCACCTTGTCCCAAGTGATGGACCGGCTGTGGATGGACTTGTGGAAGAGGTCGAGAGCCTGCCCAAGCAGCCGTGAATACGTCACCAGGAAGCCAAGGATAGATTCGCCCAGGCTCTGTGGTCGATATACAAGTTGGTCTGTGTTGAGACTGTCTTCGTGGGTTCCGATGGTGCTGCCGTCGGTAAGGTCTCCAGTAGAGGAAACGGACCCAAAAGTCGGGTGGTCTACTGGTGCATAGTTCTGGACGTCATCCTCCGCTACCGAGGCGCGTGCCTGAGAATTATGCTGAAATGGCTTGGCTGCGGTTGCGCTTTGGATCTCTGGCGAAAATGGCTTTGCAGGGTTGTGAACCTCTGGTGCTCCGGGGAGACAGACGTCAATCTCTTCGTCGTTGAGCGCCAGGGGATGTCCCAGGACCTGACTCAGGTGGCGGTCAATTACATACGCAGACCAAAAGATTCTCTTCCTCATGTCGCATATATCGCGCGGCAGCTGAACGTATCGGAAGGGGCATCTGTGTAGCCCGCAGTGGTATAAGATGCGCGTCATCGCTCCGTGAACAGTCGAGGCGGCCCTCAGAGACATCTGCGTCATCAGATACAGCTCCACGGCCAGGAGAGCTTGTAGGGAGGGAATGTCATGGCCGCTGGAGAGTATGCCCAGCAGGCTCGTTAGGGCAACGGCAGACTTGATGCGTGATTCTTCGGGCAGCTCCCGCTCTTGCTTCTGGTTGTGGTTTGAGTCTGCAATGTTAAAGACGCATTGGAAGATGATGGCCTGGTACACTTTGTTCCGCTGGCTCATCGGCTCCCCAGGCGAACCCCCTTCCAGCTCGTAGAAGCGATTCACCTTTTCAAAGAACGTAGGGCCATGGAGGAAGGGGAGGAAGGGATGCCATCTTCTGAAGTATTCCACCAGGAGCCGCTTCGCAACGGCTGGAGGAGGAGGGATCCCCAGTCCAGGTGCCGCGATGCCATATGATCGCAGGCCCGGGCTCTTGCTGGCATCATCAGCACCCACGGCACCCACTCCCAGAGTATCGTCTCCAGCGGCTTCCTCCTGGGCCTTCTCCTCTGCCATGACATACTCATGGGCGGAGCCGGGGTCCGGCGTCGCTTGAGCCCCCAGGCCATCTACATCTCCCTGGGGACGCTTCGAGCCAGTCCCGCCAGAGGTTGTCGTTGCAGTTGCAAAGGCCCGAAAGACGGTATTCGCAAAGAAGACACCGCTGGCACTGCCGATGAACTCGCTCTTATCAGGCCGTAGGGCAATAAATGAGCCGATCTCAATGGGCGGGATCTGCTGCGAGTCTGCATCCGATGGCTGACACATGTTGGTGGAACGTTGTCTTACGGATGGATGCCAATGGATTGAAAAGATATCAGTCACCAAACCGACCAATCATTCGCTCGATTCGGCAGATGATGATGCGATGTTTCTGCCGATTGATTAGGTACGATTGAGAACTTCCAAGTCGCTGCCAATGTCTAATCCGCTGAGTTGGGATGGGGATGACCGGGGCAAAGCTAGAGTTGTCAGGTGCAGGCGAGCGGCTATACTTTGTGCCGCCGGCAGATAGGCATCCACTTACACAGAAAAATCAAACATCGCCAATGTCAGAGAGTTGAATAGTAGCACCAAAGAGAAGTGTATACAGTATATGTATGTGTGTCGCCTTATATACAGGTATTTATTGCATTATATACCTCATAGCAAAGAAGTGAAAAGAGAGAGGGGGAAAAGAGTACATTTTGTTCAATTATCTCGTACATCCCATACACAGACAGTAACACCAAACATTAATGTTGCTTGTCATGACAAAGACGTTACGTATTGTTAACAAGGAGACTATTCTGCAGAAGAATTGGTGTACATCAGACGCTACATGATAGATGACAATCGTATAGTGACTGCAACTTCTCTTTCTCTCTTTCTCTTCTTCTCTCTCGCTGCCCCTCTTTTCTTCCCCTCTTCCATTAACTTTTTTCAAACACGTTTTCGTTTTCATCTAGACCCAGTTGAGCAAGATCTTTTCCTTTCGCCGCCCAAACAAAAACCTCCCCGTAGCGCCCCATCGTCCCTAAGCCCTCGATTCATTCCAAATGGTTGAGTTGTGGGGGTTGCCTGTAAACTGACACCGCCCCTGAATAGTTGGCCACGAGGGCATAAGTAGTAGTGCGACGCATATTAAAAGAATATTGAGACACCGTCTCTGAAGGTGACGTGATTTTTTTTTTTTTGTTTCGCTCGTGAAAATTTCAAAACTCAGCAGCTATCCCCTCCTTTACAGCTCCTCCTGAATAGTGGCTTCTTGTCCTTCGCTAGCGGGCTTAGCCTTGAGGTTCTCGGCTTCCTTTTCGCCATCGGAACTTGGGACGGCCTCCTTGGGGGCCTCCTTGGGAACCTCAGCGCTCTCAGCCTTGGCGGTCTCCTTGTCAACACCCTCAACGTCAGGGTGAGGTGGAGCAACACCACCGACCATGTTATCGGGCCAGCCGCCTTCGGGCATGGGGACCTCACGTCCCTGCTCGTCGACGACGCGAGTCTTGGTCTCGTACTTGGTCTGGAACTCAACCTTGCCTTCGAGAGCCTTGACTTGCTCGTCGTTCAACAGATTTCCGTCCTGATCCCGGTACTCAATCTTCTCCTCTTTGGAGAGGATCTTGGGCTCCGGGGGAACGGCTGCTTCGGAAATAACGGGCGGCGCCAGAGGCTTCTGGTCCTGGTTAACATCGGCAACAGGCACTGAAGGAGCAGCGCTTGAAGGGGGAAGTGATGTCAAGGTATAGCCCTGGTACTAAACATCGAGATACGTTAGTCATAGTTATTCAGAATCGACCTTTTTTCAATGACTTGATTCATCCCATCACCCACGCGTGGGGAGTCTATGTTTGGGGATTGTTTGGGAAAGACTTACATCATCAAGGAAGGTGTTGCAGTCAAAGTCCCATTTGTCAAAGAGCTTGACGCGCATGCACTCTGCCTTGGTCCAAGGCGTGCCGTAGGCCAATGGGGCGAACAGGGTGAATACTACTGCGCTGAGGACAAGGAACGACACAGTGGCGACGCGGTTGATGAGAGTGCCACGGTAACCGAGGGCGGCGGGGATTCTTGCCGTCACAAAGTCGAACATCTGGCAGAGCGCGATGATGGCGAAGTAGAGTGCCGGGAAATAGTGGTGCAAGAAAAGCTGGCGCTCCATCAGGAAGAAGGGGAAGTAGTGCAGGGCCCAGCCCAGGACGGAGGTACCAATCTCATAATCGAAACGCTTGAATGTGCTGCTAGCGTAGTCATTGCATCCACGCTGCCATCGGAGAATGGCAACACCCTTGAAGATGACCCAAATTGCAACGACGGCCGTGCTAGACCACCAGATGAGAGGGTTGCCAAGGAGATAGACTTGCATGTGGTGCTTGCCCCAGAAGTTGATACCACGACGAAGGATAGGCCATGAGGGGGGTCGAGAGTCCCAGGCATGAGAATCAGTCAGGCCAGCGTTCGTCCTCCACATGACCTTGTGGAGCTCCCAGAATTTACCAAAGAAGCCAGGGTTGGCGTAGTTGACCTTTTCGACGTCATCGCCGAGAAGAGGGTGCTCGTTGTGCTCGACATACCAGACGCTGTTGGGCACGCTGCCTCCGCGGGCGCAAGTAACCTCTTGCTGCTCGGAAGCCCACTCAGGGAGCTTGACCTTGTGAGAGAACAAAGCACAGCCAGTCATGACGTGGACCAATCGGAACTTGGTCTCGATGGTTCGGAGGCGTTCCTTGGCCAAGGCTCCCTTGGACTGCTTCTTGACAATCTCAACGCGGAATAGATCGTTGGCATCGCCTTCAAAGCCCTCGTAGCCGTAGGCAGAGACCTCGTTTTGCCAGTCGGCTTCGGTGACCGGAGGTCGCACGTCGTGCGAGTGAAGGCGTCGGAAGGTAGGCTGGTGGTAGAGACGGAGGACAGAGCCATCAACAATGTGGTGCACCTCTGGCAGGGCGTCCCATGCCAGAGTTCCGTTGAGCGGTTGGCCATCAATGCCCAGGGGCTGAGTCTGGTTCTCCAGGATCCAAATGTTGTTGTCGTCCTTGTGGGGATACAGAGTAATCTGCTGCTGCAAGCTACCGGTAGGGTACATGAGGGGGTGAGAGTGGAGGTAGCCACCTTGAGTATTGACATGGCGGATGGTAACTCGGCTTCCCATGACGACGTCGGCAGCAACATCCTTCATACCCTTGCTGTTCAAAGTAGCCTGGAACTCGGAGCTCATGAATCCATCACCCTCACCAGGGTTGGTCAGGCAAAGGAAGTGGATGGCGAACATGGCGAGATAGAAGGTAACCGGGATGATGATGAGGCAGAAAACTCTGGCCATGAAGTGCTTGAACCAGAGACGCTACATTTAAGGAGTTAGGTTAGCCAGTGCTCAATGGCAATCAGGGAAAGAGGGAATGGAATAGAATTATTTTACATACAACAGAGACGTTCTTGCTGTCGCCGAGGAGAACCCACAGCTGCAAAAGAGTCAAGGATCCCACCCAGGCAATGGTGAAAAGGCCAACCCATTTGATGCTAGAGGTAATGCCGAGACCAAGACCAGTCATGGCAAGCCAGAACCACCAGCTCAATTGAAACGCCTTCTCCGGTCCCTGCTCGTGTTGATTGGTGAAGCAGGTGAAGGACATGGCAGTGAAAGCTGTAGCAGCAACCAGGGGGGAATCCAGAAGAATCAGACGGGCCTGAGTAAGAAGACCGTTTTCTGCAGAAAGCTTGGTTAGATCTGGGTTTGACTCATCATCGCAATATGATCTCGTCCCGCAGTAAAGCAGCAAAAGAGCATTTAGAACAAGGGTGGTGTGTATTTACCAAAAATGATGAAGCCAGCACCGAGCACGGCGGTCGTCGTTCGGCAGCCAACCGCCTTCAACGTCAAAAACATGAAGGGAGCGAGGAAGATGCCGCAAATCGCAGGGAACAGACGCATGGCGACATAGGGAACGCCAGGCTCCAGATAATCTTTGCCAATATCCTTGAAATCGAAGTTGCCGTCGAAGCCCGCAAGCCATCCGGTGAGGGCAATGAGCATCTTGGCCAAGGGAGGGTGTACGTCCATGAAGAACTTGCCCTTGATGTATTTGGAAGCGAAACCACCGAAGCTGAAAAGAACAGGAGGAGTTAGTACAATGGTACAGATGCAGCTTGGATACAGAACAGCATTGGAAGAAGCGAGACTCACTGGACTTCATCAAATACAACACTAGTGGGCAGGTAGATCTTGAAGAGGCGTACAATGGTGGCCAGGACAGTCACTCCGAGGGCTGCCACATAGTCAGGCCCAGGGAGCAGGAAGACATCGTTGTCGACAACACCGTCAGACTTGTACGATGTGTTCTTCTTGGGCTTGCTGGTTGCGACTGGTGCAACCAAGGGCTGCTTCTCTGCGACGAGGGGAGGTTGAGGGCTGCGGCCCCGCGCCGTCGCTTTCGCCATGGCGAAGAGTTTGGCGGGGATTGATGATAAAAAGTGTAGAAGACGGAGTAATGCGGTCGAATCGTGCGACTAGAGAATAGAGGACCGAGCTCTCGGGGGGTGGAAAATGTCCAGATCGGACCGGTAAATGAGTGTATCGAACGAAGGAGACGAGACGTGGAAATTAATAAAGATGCCTCATGGAAGAAGCCGAACAAAAGGAACAATGGACAAGAGACAAGCCCAATTCAGCCGGGCAAGAATGAAAACGACAGCCGCGGGTCAAAAGTCGCAGCGCGCAAGCGGAGAGGAAGAGAAAAATAAAGGGAGAAGGGGAGAAAGAAGCCGAAAATGGTTGTCGTGATGGGCAAACCAAGCCAGTCAGGGGTGGGAGGAGGAGCTGCGCAACCGTTTTCTCAGCTTCGCGTCCGCTTCCAGCATTGTAGCTACAGTGGCCTTAACAGGGAGGACTTTCAGCCTTGGCGCCACTGTGCTGTGCACAGCCATAGCAGGTACCGAGGGGAGGTACAGGTACCAGCTGCTGCGGCTGTGGCGCCATACAAAGTGTGAGTAGCCAACAGGTTACTCGGGCGATTGCCTCGACTTGCAGAAAAGACCCCGTTGTAGCCTCGTGTTGGAGAGGGCCCCTTGCCTTAGGGATGTACTATTGGCTACTAGCACTAAAAGGATGATCCAATTAGCAATGGGCAATGCTACTCCAAAAGAAGCTTGGATTCAATCTTTTCCGATTTATGTATAAAAATCCAAAATATTAGGCCCTTGGAATCCTATAGCGCCTTTTCTACTCCATACAGATTAAGCGAATATTGTAGCTACCAAAAACAAAATAGTAGTACGGCCAGTGCGTGCAGCAACTCAGTCTCATTGAGCGGCCCGCATCATTTCCGTTCGTCACGAAGCCCTCGATGAACACGGATTCAGCCGCACTAAGATGAACTAGGAGCTCAAATTCGGTTCGTAGCGAGGTCGAGGCTCCCTGTAAGAGCGCTCTGTTCTAGGCCAATTGACATGTGCTCCCCCAAAAGCGACTAGTTGTATCGGTACCTGAAACTTTGGGCAAGGTGGCTGCAAATGGAATTGAATACAAAGCAGATACATTACCAGGCTGCAAGATTTGTCCTCCAATGTTGCTTCTCGTAAAGAAAAAAAATAGCTGTAATGATGAAAACTACACGCTTAACCGTCTAGGCGTTGTTAAATTGGACGTCAGATCCCTTTATAGCATGATCTCATATAACGGCAAGTATAAGGTACAGGGAGGTAATCTTCTGAGCTTCTCGCAGCCATGGAAGGGTCCAGGGTACATGTACTCTGCACCCCACACGGAGTACATGCGACCATGGACGTGGCGCGACATCGACAACGGGCGGATTAACACCGCTCCGGCTTCCGACTCAATTCGATGCTGCGTGCTTGGTGCAAGGCAACCAAGAAATTTCCAGCCGAGCTGCATCGCCATCGCATCACCGTCCATATTTTCGGGCCCTTCTCTTTCAACTCCCCGGAAAGGCAGAGGCAGCGGAAGCAGCAGCAAAATCACCATCTTCAACTGTTCTTGCCTTCATCGATCGCGGATATGGCTGCAGAAGTGGCGAATGGAAATGCGTCAAACGCGCTTGACGATATCAAAGCTCCGGTCGGTGTGGTTCTGCCGCCACGCGAAATTCGAAACATCCTCGAAAAGACTGCTGGATATGTCGCGCGAAACGGCTCGGTATTCGAGGATCGCATCCGAGAAAAGGAACGTCAGAACCCCAAGTTCAGCTTTCTGAGCGTTGACGATGCCTACCACGCCTACTACCAGTGGCGACTGAGCGAGATCAGATCCGGTCGCGGCACCGACATTGCGGCCGGTCGAGTGGGAGAAACCATAACTCCGGTTCCCGAGAAGCCCAAGGGGCCGCCTAAGCCTCCCGACTTCCAGTTTTGCGCTCGAATGCCTCACATCAACCAGAAAGATTTGGACGTGATTCGGTTGACGGCGCTTTTCGTGGCCAAGAACGGACGACAGTTCATGACGCAGCTGGCGCAGCGCGAAGCCGGTAACCCCCAGTTCCAGTTTCTGATTCCCAACCACACGTTCCACAACTTTTTCCAGCACATTGTCGATCAGTACACGTTGCTGTTGCGGGCGAGCGGACTCGATGGTGAGGGCGGCAAGCTGCAGGAGGAGCGGACAGCAGAGCTGCAGCTGAACGTGAAAGACAAGTTCCACGTCTTGAAACGAGCAAAAGAGAGGGCGGAATATGCCAAATATCAGGAGGTTGAGAGGAAGAAAAGAGAGGCCGAGGAAGAAGTCGAAAAGGCCGAGTTTGCTCGAATTGATTGGGGTGACTTTGTTATTGTCGAGACCATTACGTTTTCCGACGCCGATGAAAGTGCCAATCTGCCGCCTCCCACTACCCTGGGCGAGTTGCAATACGCTTCGTTGGAAGACAGAAACAAGGCATCCATCAGTGCCAACCTACGTATCGAAGAGGCCATGCCGGGCGAAGAGGACGAGCTGCACAACGAAGTTACAGAAGCAGCTCTTCCAGCCTCCTTTCCCCTGCCTGTGCATACAGGATACGCACCACAACAGCAGCAACAACAGCCACAATTGCCATCTCCTGTACCGGTTTACGGCGCCGAAGGACATCAGCCACAGCCATCTGCTCAGGAGGAAGAGGAGCTGCGGAGAATACAAGAGAGATCCGAAGCACAGGCTCGTGTGCAGGCGGCACATTCAGAGGCTAGGGGTGGCCTTGGTCCTATGAAGATAAGGGAGAATTACGTGCCACGGGCAGCACAGAAGGCAGCAACCAAGCAAGGAACGCAGATGGCACTATGCCCCAACTGCAAGCAGCAGATTCCTCTCAACGAACTCGAAGCGCACATGCGAAGTAAGTTGCAAAGCTCCAGACGATGCTAAACTTGGAACACTGGCTAACCTTTTTCTCTACTTAGTCGAACTCCTCGATCCAAGCTGGAAGGAACAAAAGGCCAAGGCCGAATCACGTTATGCTACGTCCAACATCGCTCACGTTGATGTGGCCAACAACCTGAAGCGACTTGCTAGCCAGAGAAGCGATGTCTTTGACCCTGCGACAGGAAACGCCCTCTCGGAGGATGAACAAGCCAGGCGAAAGAAGGCGGCCATCCAAAGCTTCGATGGGCATCTAGAGGGGAAGAGCCAAGCTCATCTCAACCACCTCCAGAACGTCAATGTCGATGAGCAGATTCGCGCAATCCATCAGAAGTTTGCAACTAAGAAGTGATGGCAACGGATATCAAGCTTTAGCTAGCTATTATCCATAAAAGGAGGGACGCTTTGAGAACGTTCAAGGCCTCAAACAGCGGAGCACCTTCAGCAATTACATCCACTCGGGCATTGGCGAGCATGCATCATCTAGATGAGCCAATGCCTTGATTATTATTATCTATTTTCGGAGCTTTTGGATAAACACGGAGGTTGACTAGTTATGGAGTTTGGGAGCTCAAGGTGAGGCGACTTTTTTTCGTCATTTAATGCTGTTATCAGGGGCTCATTTACCATTAGCGGTTTTATGATGAACGCTGTGCACAAGTTCCACAACATGAGATTGAATGAAGACGGCATGTACCAGGTAGCACGAAGCCTGCATGGCGCGCCATATGGTTAAAAGCGCTGCTATTCGTTCTTTTTGGTCCTGGCTCTGCAACCAATCTGTCCAGGGGAGCCGTGGTACGACAGCATCAGCATTGCGTTTTCGACAATGGTTGAATGTAATAGCCTGGATTATGTTACCAATACAGTAAATAATCGGAATGAGTGGAAGGGAATTAATGATATACGTTCCCTGTTATCAAGGGCACATTGGGTTCAAGTTGGGCAACGCCCCCCTGTGATACTCTGATATCCCCATGCTATATCCATAGCACCAGTGACATACTCGTACTACTCGTATAACAACTATAACAACAGGCCTTGCTTGGACTTGGCAATATCTATCGGTGACGCATTGATAAACAAATTCAAGACTCATGTAGCACTTGCGATGGATTAATTTCTGAACACAGCAGCAGTTGACTCCAATCAGTCCCCTGGCGTCATCATGACAATCAATGAATTAGAGTTGCTCGTCAAGTTTGATGCTTATCACAAGGCAATGAAATCCCTGAGACAATCTGCACTGCAACTGAAGCGTCCCCCTAGAACTGGTGGGGAAGCTTCCTGGCTTCCCCCCCACGTGAACAGCAGCAACTGCAAACCCCACCTTGTTCAGCTTCCCGCGATTGTGCAAGCAGGCATTATTTATCTCGTCACTCTCCACCTTTTGGCCCAAGGCTGGTCATCACACGATCGAGCGCATTTCTCGACTCGACCCCAAGCAGCTTGGCAAGGTGCTGTGCGGCCTGGCGATACGGAGCAGAGTCTCTCGTCCTTCCTCTTCCTCGAATCCAAAAATCGAAGCTCTAGCTCGCTCTTCGTCCAGAAGGCGATCTCAAAATCTCTCTCGCGTGCGCGCGCAACATCTCAAGCCATAGCCATCACCCTTATAACACCGCCAAACTGTCGGACAATCAGGACGCCGCGCAGGCGGCCCGCAAGTCGCCGGATCTGCATCGGCCCATCATGCAGTCCATGCCAGACACGCGGCAGCAGAGCTTTGACGAGATCTACGGTCCGCCAGAGAACTTTCTCGAGATTGAGGTGAGGAGAATTGGACAGCAGCACAACATTGTAGATTAATGGCACGGAATCGACACAACAAAAGGGGGGTTGAGGGAGGGAAAAGACGTGCAGTTAAGGGGTGGCAACAGGATATGGACAAGAGGACATGGAGCTCTGGATGCATCATCATCGTCATCACCATCATCGTCATCACAATCATCATCATACAGCATTACTAATGCTCCTCTGTGCTGCGACTAACAGGTACGGAATCCTCGAACCCACGGCATGGGACGGTCCATGTACACCGACTACGAGATCCTCTGCCGCACCAACATCCCCGCCTTCAAGCTGCGCCAGAGCAGCGTGCGCAGGCGGTACTCCGACTTTGAATACTTCCGCGACATCCTCGAGCGCGAGAGCGCCCGCGTGACAATCCCGCCGCTGCCCGGCAAGGTCTTCACCAACCGCTTCAGCGACGATGTCATTGAGAACCGACGAGCCGGCCTGGAAAAGTTCCTCAAGATTGTCGTGGGGCATCCGCTGCTGCAGACCGGTAGCAAGGTGCTGGCCGCGTTTGTTCAGGGTATGTCGAGTGTTTGTTCTACTCGCTGGGAGTGTGTTGAAGCTGACTGAAGATAATGAATATTTATAGACCCCAACTGGGATCGCAACGCATGGTGATAAAACTGCTGTTGCTTAGTAGTTGTGGAACTCCTGTTAGAGAATAGCAGTGAGGCTGCTACTCATAACTCCTGACGATGAGCGGAATCCACAAGAGTCTCTATTACGTATATCCACCATCTCAAGCGAATGACAGATTTGGTTGGTATGGCACATCTAAGAAGTCAGCAAGCATGTGGAATGGATTTACGTTACTATACTATGTCCTTTTCAGTGTGAGCTTGCTTTTTTTGCCGTCCACCATAACATCTATCGTGTCTTTCTCTTTTTCTTAACCTGCTGTTTCTCATTCTGTCTTTGCGATTTTACTCTCCTTATCAAAACCTTTGATGCATATCACCTTGACCCGAGCTTGCTGGATATAGCCAGCACATGATTTGCATCACGAGAAATGATACAAACGACACGGCGTATTCAGGCCAGCAGCGTTCAGTGTACATAATAATAAATACCTAAAATATGAAACCGTTCCTTTTACACTGCTTGACTTGTTTGAATTTTAGCGTTTCATGCTTCATTTCATTCTCAGGTATATCCTCTTGCGTCTTTTACATATTACTTGATTGATGCAGGGTAGGTCATCTTGTATCATTCTCGGGACTGCCAAACTATCCCAGTGCTAACCGAGTATTATCATTCTAGATGGTTCGTTTCGCCGAGCCATTGATAAGAGTTGCCCTATCACATCCAGTATTGAAAAAAAAGTCCCATCTCAGGGCTAAACGGTGAACCAAGTTGCCAAGTCGGTCCCGATATTCGGTTCCGGCGTATTTGTGGATCTTGGTCCGAGACAGCGATTCTTGGTGTAGATCCACAACGATGTCATAATCTTGGCGCGGGTTGACTGAATAGGAAAAAAAACATTGGACCTACGAAACTTGAAGAGTTTTTTTACGAAAGACTTAGGCCAATGACGGTTGTTTTATTCGACAATGAGCGGCAAAACAATTACTGAAGAGTTTTTAAAAATTCTAAAGGTGGCTTCTGTCTTGCTTCCTTGGAGTGATGTGGATTGTTGGGTGGGTACGTGTGTTTTGAAATCAGTAATTGCCAAGAATGAGGCTCATTGAGCTGAGCATTAGAGTCAACTTCGAGTGATGTAAACTCAGATGTCGAGGTTCTTGAATGTATCGTATAGACGATTCAATGAATTCAAGTTCGAACAATCTCATTACTAGTGCATCGTTAATTAGGCATCTGAACGAGAGTCAGTGTCCTTCCCCGTCTTCCTGCTACCAGACCCCATGGGCTCCTCCATATAATAGAAGTCCGGGAACTATCTCCAGGAAACCCTTATTCTGGCCACAGCCATGTGCTACAAAGCACCACATAAACTCTCCATCCCAGCGGAGAACACACGGGCTATCGAAATTTTGCAGCCTCGCAGACCCTCGTTTCTCGGGTTTGCGGCCCCGATTTGCATGTGCTGATCGACACTCGGTATCCCTTTCCCAGCAGTCGCACGAATCAAAGCGGGTGGAAGATCCCAGTATGCATATCGTTTCCCGTCGCAAAATGACTCGCTTTAAATGGGCCACTCAAGTGCTGACTTGAGGGAGCCAGGCAGCCCAAAAACTGGAACCGTTCCTCGAATGTGCCGGTGAGGTTCCGGTAGTCGAGAGCCGGGTACGTGTATCTGTCACCGGCTCGAGGCTATTCCTATCCAGCCCATGTATGTTTTTACACACTTGCTTGTGTTTTATATCGACGATTTGAGCCGAATATACTATGGATACTAGTACATAGTGATTTGAATCATTTGAGCAAGATCTTGTTAACAAGAGAGCTGATTTATGTAAAGCGAATCCAGAAAGTGGCACGGGTGAGAACCCCCAACTCAGCTAGATAAAACCACTCAACCGGGCTTCTGGAGACAAACACCCCCATCTGCCCGCATATTGCGTGAAACAATCATGAAGATCTTGTACTGGAAAAAGTGAAAAGAGCACATCTCGTTGGCCGCTGCAACTCACACAACCTCTGTCTGCGGCTCCGCTCGATCGTCACTCTGACCCACCTTGTGAATTCTCGTGCCTCGGACTAGGACTCTTTGCAATCTGCTTCAACACGACGATCCAGCTGTTTCGGACGATTATGATGTCATGTGGATAACACGCCGTTTTGAACACATCAAGATTCTTGACCGACTCAAGCCAGTCTCAGAGGGCTCAAACCAAGTATTGTCCAGTATATCAAATTGTATACATGGGTATATATAACACCATGCTCAACCCCATGTTTCCTCCAGGTTTCGATTCCCCATTATTCAAGCCGAGCATAAACGCCTGCGCTGTATTATACCGTAGACATAGCATATGTTGTATGTCTTGAGATAATCCATCATGGCGCCTCCTACGTTTGCTGGCCTTTCGGGGCGGCCTCTCTCCCTGGCCGTCTCAACCATCGCTACCACTGCTTTCCTTCTCTTTGGCTATGACCAGGGTGTGATGAGCGGTATCATTTCCTCCCCGGTATTCAACGACTATTTCCCCGCCACTAGAGATTCTACCATGCAGGGTCTGGTCACAGCCATCTACGAGATTGGCTGTTTGATAGGCGCTGTTTTCATCCTTGCGGTTGGAGACCTGCTCGGTCGTCGCCGTGCCATTATCCTCGGTGGTATCATCATGATTTTTGGAACCATTATTCAAGTCACACCCATGCGCGGTCATGCCCAGCTGGCGCAGTTCATCATTGGCCGCATCGTCACGGGCGTTGGAAACGGCATCAACACCTCAACTGTCCCGACGTACCAAGCCGAGTGCAGCAAGACGTCCAACCGTGGTCTTCTGATCTGTATCGAAGGAGGCATCATTGCCTTTGGATCGCTGATTGCATACTGGATCGACTACGGCGCATCATACGGGCCTGACGACCTGGTTTGGCGATTCCCCATTGCTTTCCAAATCACCTTCGCCCTGCTCTTCAGCACAGCAATGATCTGGCTTCCTGACAGTCCTCGATGGCTCCTCACACATGAGAGATACGAGGAGGCCGAGCGAACCATTGCCGCTCTCCGCGGATACGAGGTCGACAGCGAAGAGACCAAGACGGAGCGAGACATCATTCTAGATTCCATCAGAGCCTCGGGTTTTGCCGGTCAAAAGAGCACTCCCGTCAAGGCCCTCTTCACCAACGGCAAGACGCAGCACTTCCGACGCATGTTGCTCGGCGCTTCGTCCCAGTTCATGCAGCAAGTCGGTGGCTGCAACGCCGTCATCTACTATTTCCCCATCCTCTTCCAAAACTCCATTGGCGAGTCTCACAACATGGCCATGCTGCTCGGCGGTGTCAACATGATTGTCTACTCCGCCTTTGCCACCGTGTCCTGGTTCATCATTGAGCGAGTCGGACGCCGGAAGCTTTTCCTCTGGGGAACGGCCGGTCAGATGCTTTCCATGGTCCTGACTTTTGCATGCCTGATCCCTGGAAATCCCAGCGCGGCCAAGGGAGCTGCCGTCGGTCTCTTTACTTACATCGCTTCGTTTGGAGCTACCTGGCTTCCTCTTCCTTGGCTCTACCCTGCCGAGATCAGTCCCATCAAGACTCGCGCGAAGGCAAACGCTGTTTCGACATGTACCAACTGGCTCTTCAACTTCTTCATTGTCATGATCACCCCAATCATGATTAACCGAATTGGCTGGGGAACTTATTTGTTCTTTGCCGTGGTAAACGGTTGCTTCTTCCCCGTTCTCTATTTCTTCTACCCAGAGGTATGTGGCTTTTTGTGTATCAAGTATTGCTACCCTCCCGCTAACAACCAGTATAGACCGCAAACAGATCGCTGGAAGAGATTGACATCATCTTCGCCAAGGGCCATGTCGAGAACATGTCGTATGTCAAGGCTGCCAAGGAGCTGCCCTATCTTTCTCACGCAGAGGTGGAAGAATATGCCCTTCGATATGGACTGGTCGATTCCGCAAGCGAGGGAGCTGCGGGTAAAGAGGAGGACAGATCGAGCGAAAAGGGAAGCTCGAGTGAAAAGGGAAGCAGTCGAGAGACTGAGAACTGAATGATATGATTAGAGACCAAAATAAAAATTAGACATGTAGATACATGTATAGAAGCTTTCTGGAAAGCTATGTCTATGATAGCCACGATACAATAGAGAAGCCATTTGGCATTCACTCTCACATTTATTGTGTGTACATCGCAAAACATATCGTGCGTTAGCCTCTGATGCCAAGGTCAGCCCCTAGCCATTGTCATTGATAATTTGGTCTATTCGAAACAATAAATACCATTCAGTGGAATTAATTGCTCATAAATGGAAGCAACATGGCCAAAAGCAAAAAGACAAGAGACTGAAAAAAATAACGACGGGTTAGGTTCTAGGGGGAGTCGAACCCTCGCTGCCGGAATCAAAATCCGGAGTCATAACCGTTAGACCATAGAACCCGTTGCGAACCACGCTAATTAGAGTGGCTTATATACTATGGCAGCCTTGCATTCCATCTGTGCGAACAGCTTCATGGACAAACTACATGGTAATACTTGTGTGTAGAACAAGGGAGCTGTTTCTTTTGTTTGTCTAAATTGCATGCCAAAAAAATGGAAAAGAGGTAGATTGATAGATAACCCTTTAGCAGCCAGATATCTCATGGTGATGATAATTATATACTAATACATTTGCAATATACAAAAAAAGAACGCCGCCATCCCATCACATCAACACCATCTTTATCCCTGGATTCTCTCGCTGGAGGATCGTCTCGATCTCGTGGGACAACGAACTCACCCAGCTGGAAGCTGCATCTGCCTCTATCTTGGTCTCATGTTCCTCATGTTGGTGTCTAGCAATGTTTTCAGACGCACAGCGTTCTGAGCAAAACAGTGTCAGCCGTTTCAAGCCCACGCAGTCTTTGCAGGCAAACGCGTCGAGTGCAGTATCATCTTCCATTACAACATCTTCTTCCGGTCCAGTCTCGCGGTTCTGCACGCAGTTGTCTCCGGCATGGCAGCGGTGCATCTCATCAACATGCTTGGCCTGGGCAGAAAGAGAGTTAGCAGATTACTCGTAGTGTTGATGCCTATGAGATTCGGGAAATACATACGTGTCCAGCGTCATAGCACTCCTCGGAGCAGTAAACCGTAAGTCCCTGGTTGCCTCCAATTTGCACGGTGGCCTGACATACGGTGCAAGAGAAGACGTCGTTTGTGTCCACGACCTTTCCGCACACTGAACATGGAGGTAGATTGTAGAGCTCATCACCCGATATCCGCTCCTCGGCTGCTTGAGCCTCGCTTGTAGCCTGCTGCGTCTTTTCCAGCTCATCGGCCATCTTGGCCCTTCGAAGATCGTTCAGCCGCGATACGAAGAATTCTCGTTGGGGTATGATAATCTTAATCTCTTGCGCATCCTTGCTCAGCTTCCCAAACGCCTCTTCGATGCTCATATTCTCGTTGGAAGTATAGTCATCCAGATACGGCTTCGAATGGTCCAGCGGCTCACCCGTCTCATGGTTCATGAAAAACTCCTTCACGTAAAGTCTCTGGAGGGCCGCCGGATTCCCCCCAGCAGCAGCAACCTCAACTGCAAATGCATCCACATGCTCAGCCCAGTCCGGGGGCTTCCCGATTCCTCGCCATACCATGCCCACCACCTCGTCGCGTGACCGATCCGGGTCGTCCAGCATGGCTCTCAACTCCTCGTGGACATACTGGTCATCGCAGGTGACAAGATACTCGGGGTATTTCCTCAGGTTCCATCGATACCACGCTTCCTTTTCCGACTCTATCCGCGCCTCAATCTGCCTGACGCTTGTCCTGTGCTCCTTCGCGTCTGCAAATAGGCCTTCCAGCTCCTGGTGAAACGCTTTCCTATACGTGAACCATTCGCGGTCCTGGCCTTCGCTATACCTCTGGCGCATCCTCTCGAGGACCAGAGACCAGCACTTTGCGCACTCCGAGACGTGTCTTTTCCCACATTCGCTTGCGCAAGAGCGCTTCAATGCTTCCACGTGTTCCGAACAAAGCCGCCTCTGCCTCCTGGCAGCGATGAGCTCTGTCCAATGTTCCGGGGTGATGAGTGGTTGAGCCATGGCTGTGAATGTCACCTTCACGGGTTGAGGAGAATGCCAGCTTCTCAAATTATTTCAACGTCTTGAAACGATGACAGTAAAGGAGGAAAAAAAATAAAGATAAAAAAAAAAAAAAAGTGGCGAATAAGAGTTGTTGTATCCCAGTTAGAAATGCCCTCTGTTTTCGTTGAGAGACGCGCTTGGTCTCACTCTTGATCCCGATACTGTCAAGTAAAAGGCAATACTACTGCATTTCTGAGTAAGCCGGAAAAGAGAAAATTGGCTAGCCTCTAACTAGGCTAGAGATGCCCCCGAAAAATGAAGTTGTACAGAACAAAGAAAAGAAGAAGAGGCTCAAGTGCCGAGCAGATGAATAACAAGGTTTGTCGATAAGGATCGAAAACGAAAATGTTCATGTACCGCACAGAGCACGCACTTGGCATAGATACGGTAAGTACATGTACAGATGCAGAACCGCATGCCGCTCGAAATAGCATGTGTCAACACGACCAGCGCTGACCTCATCTTGCAGAAATAAATCGCCCCGATTCTGCCTGTATTCAGCCGAGCTTGATCCGGTCGCCAATTCGTCCAAGCTCAGCTCCGGCTGAATCCCAGTTGCGCCTTTGATCCAAGTAATTTCCTGTTGGCTTCATTCAATTTCCCTTCTTCTCTCATCTAAAACGTCGAGAAAATTACGTGCCGTCTGCATATCTCGTTACTGCATCTGAATCGCAGCCATGGTAAGTAGCCATGCCTGCAATCTTGTTCTCGTAATTCTCAATAAATCGCGTACCTTTGCTAATTCTGCTTCCTCGACACTAGGCCGACAAGCTGCGCAACCAGCAGGAGCTCGAACGTCTCCAGGCCAAATATATCGGAACTGGCCACCCGGATACCTCTAGCTGGGAGTGGCGGACGAATATCCAGCGAGATACCTATGCCTCTATCGTCGGCCACCGGCCGCTTCTCACATACATCTCGTTGGCTGAAAACGAGCCATTGACGAAGACGCGGGCTCAAATGATCAGGGTACGTAGTTCCGATTCTTTTGCGTGTACAGAGAGCCAAGATTGGCTCAAAAACTGTTCTTTGTTGACGCTTTTGGTTTATTCGGCGCACAGAAAATGATCCAGCCATGCGGGCCTCCACCACCTCGCGAAGATTGAATCGATATCCGACATCGAAGCATGCTACGAGATATTACTATGAGAAATACTATGAGAAATACTTGGCCTAGATGGCAAGGTCTGGTTTATTGAAAGATGTATATACATATATATGCTTTGTGTTTTGTTTGCACATGAAATGGCGTCGTGGAACGGCAAATCCGTACGGCAAGATACCCCTATAATTAAGCAACGACTAGAGTATCACGAAAGATGGTAACAGGAATTTGAAGAGAGAGAGAAAAAAAAAAAAAAGAAGCAATTCTGAGATCTATGAATCACAAACGCCGCCATGGTATTATCGCCTATGCTACGCCCCGTTTGTCATGCCAGCATCGTTATAATCCTCCCCTCCTTCTGCGAGTGGTCTACTCTTAATACCCAAACTCGATCGAAGCTTCTTGTCAAATGTCTCATCCTCAGGGTGGCCATAGACCTCTTGCACCAACCCAATGACACCATCTAGTCCAATTTCTTCCTTCGCTCGAGGGCCGACATGCCATGTGATGGTTTGGTCGCCCTCGTAACCCACCGGCGGCCGGTCTACTTTTTTGATCACATATCCCTGTCTCTCTATGCGCTTCATCGCTAGTTCCGTTCTCTCGCTTGCCAACATTCGATCGGCGTTGAGCCGCATGAGGTATCTCTGCAACTTCTGCTCGCTGAGTTCTCCCCCGTTCAGCCATATCAACGAAACAATCAATGTGTAGAATGCAGAATATGTTGCTTCCTGCTCCGCACTTGGGACCTTGGATGGCTTCAAGATCGATGCGCTTCGGTATACTTCTGGCAATGTTGAAGATAGGATATAGGCACCCGACCCAATTTTTGGCTGTGCGTTCGACTTCATAGCTGCCATTCGTTTACAATCAGTTCCCAGAGTTCCGGAAAGTATTGATAGACCCATGCTTTCGCCACAGCCAACGTACCTTGTCTCTTTTCATGAAGGGTCATTTTTTCACGGACGGGTAACTCGCGCAGCTCCATTCCCCAGACTGTTCTTAGTTGTGTTTGCGCCATCTCGAATATCCTTCTGAATGAACGACCTTGCTTTCCGAGTACTATACCGCAGCTTAGTTAGCAGACTGCTTCACCCCCCCGATGCCTATCATTCCAATCACAATACCTCGCTCCTTAATTCCGTCTCTCTTTATCGGCGTTCTTGAATACTCGCATGAGATTGCATACCGAACCAACTTCTTGGCCATTTGGTCGTCGGCAGTCGAGGAGGCACCGTTCGTTTCTGCATCTTCATCGGACATATCTTCGTCTTGCTCGGCCTCCGAAGCCTCGATGTGTTGGCGCTGTCGAGGACGAGCATCCTCGTCCGAGTCTCCATCCTCATCTACCTAATTGAGTCTGTTTGTCAGAACAAAGAGAGACAGCCTAATATCCATCTGCTGTTGAGCTTCCACCTACCGGACGACGTCTTCTTTGTGAGGGCGGCATGACTGTATGCGCAATTGATGGCAACTATAAGCTCAAAAAAAATGACAAATAAATGCTGAAGATTGTTTGTACCAAGTCGAACTGCAATGAATCAGCCGAGGGGCTTTGTGAAACCTTTTGGAGGGGGAGACGCGCCGCAACAGCCGAAGCGCGTCTGATTAGTTGTCGGGTAAATTGCTTCGGTGACGCTCATTATCAGCTATCGATAAGCCTTATCACACAAACTTCAAGGTGCTTGCTTACCCAGTTCGGCGCATCGCTCAAAGCAAAGAGCTCGCTTCATCTTTTGCTTGGGACAATACCGAGCTTGGTCCATTTCATGTTGCCGTTTATGTAACATTCAATCTACTGTCTCAATGCTTTCCAGAGCGGTGAACGTGCCGCGCGCCTGTTTTGCCAACCGCCTCTCCTCGTCGATTCTATCAGCCAGAGCTACGATAAGCATTCGCAGCTTACACAGTCGTGGAGAATGGATCCAGCAACGATGCTACAGCTCCGACCCCGTCATTCATAGCAAAGAGAAGATAGAGGCGCTGATATCTGGGAGAATCAGTGAACGCGAGTTTAAGAAATCAAACAAGCAGACATCTAAGCGGCCGTTCAAGAAGTCATCCAGCCGTAAACCATGGCGCCGCCGAAAAGAGGAGGAGATACCCGACTGGGGGCTGGCACCTTTGGAAGTCGAGGCCAGTCCTGCGACGCAAGCGGCTATAGAGCGACAGTTGGGAAACGGATTTGAAGGTGAACTTTCAGAAGAGGTTATGGAAATGCTTGCCGAAGAATCGCTTCTGAAAGAGGAGCCTGCTGCAGAAGAACTCGACGCAGACGAATGGAATCAACCAGAGCAATCTACTTCTCAAGAGGAAGCTGCCATTACAGAGGCCGATGCAGTCGAACCCAGCCAACCCAGGCCCAAGCGTGGATTCAAAGCTAAGAAAGATTTCCATGATGAACTCGTGCAGTCCAGGAGCGTCTCCGTTGCCGCTCTTGGAGAGCAGATCGATGCCATCATGTTAAAGAATCCCAACGAAATGAAGAGACCCAAGAGGCCCGTACGAAGAGTCCAAGACGATACAGCAGAAGCTACGGTCGAGCTCGATACCGAAAGGGATAATATGGTGGACGTGAAAGAGGAGAGTGATGAAGAGGCAATGAGAGCGGCGATGAAGAATATCGATGACCTACGGCCCGTCGACAAGTCGATTCTACGAATGAAGGATTTTGACTCTCTGGCGAATACCCTGCTGGATGGTTTCACGTTTAACCAACTTGCAAAGTATTTTAGCCAGAAGCGCCTGGCCTTGTCGTCCAAGCGAGATCAAGGGAAACAGTTGCGCTATCCCTGGATTGTCAAACAGGAGCCTTGGGTGGCTGCAAAGCCTGACCACTGGGGGCCGCTTAGGCCGAAGCAACGACAGGTTATTATGATTATGCAAATGATATGGAATCTGGAGGTTCAAGAGCAGGTTGAAGGCTTAGGCAGAACTCTTGTCTGGCTACAACCTCGCATCTTTGAGCTGATTGCCTGTAAGTCTTATGATGGCCGCTTGATTATGAGCGAATCTAGGCTAACATTCCCGTCCTAGCTCCTAATAGCGCCGTGCTTGAGCTACTCTCCAGAGACTTTTTATATCAGTCGAACAAGGAGAAAATCACTACAAGTTTTGACGATCACCGGATCAATATTTATGCTCGGAAATCCACCGTTCCTGCCATCCTCTCCCACCTTGACGAAACGGTCAAATCAATTCGGTCCCAGAAAATATCCTCGGGTTCCATTCAGGAGCACGACCTAGAAGAGAAACTTCTTCGAGAGCTAGAACGAATCACCAAGACGCATATTGCTTACGATGAGAACAATAAAGTATGCTTCAACTGTTGTGCCGCTAGATTTTCCCTGGCTAACGAATAAATAGGAACTTGAAATCTCTTGGCTGCAGAAGCAGCATCTTGCTTCCAAGGGTACAGAATCCCCGGCTGATATCGCTTTGCGACTTCTACTGGAGCAGACAACAAAAGATGCCCAAAGAAGTGTCCACATTATCACACCATCAGGCATTAGCAATATCAAGGACGGGGCTTTTATTAGCCATCAAAGAGAAAATAGGAGTATGTCTTGGAAGGACAAGCTCAAACAGTGGTCAAGATTCGTCACACCAGTTGGCCAAGCCACCACCTCAGGAGATGACGTTTCAACGCAATTCCCCGGTGTCATTTCCGATCTCAAGGCAACAACAGGAACCGAACCAGTCCACCAGATCACAGCTGCTTTCGGACATGTGCTTCATGGGAAGCATTCACAGACAGTGGCTGCAATGGCGGAACATCGTCGGCTGCTTTCTCCCGTCCTTCCCCATCCGGCATCATTTACATCTATCATGGAAGAAGACCAATCTACAACGCAACGAGCGACAATTGTTCTCAACTTTTCTCCAGACCCCAATCACTCCTTCACAAAATATGACTCCGCGCCCCCTACAATACAACTGCAACTGCCAGTGAATCCCGACAGCGACCTTACCGGCTCCTCTCTCCCCCCTGGCTCAGCCCTCTTTGGAGTCGCAGCACATCATATCAATGACGTGCTTATGCCCAGCGAAAGCGTAGATGTTCGCCTGACGCAAACCCATCTTCTTCCTCTTGATGCAAGCCAAGAGTCCGCCAAGGAATTTTTATCGCAAAGCGAATTCAACCTCCCCCAGGGTGTTCTGAAAACACCCAGCAAAGCCAAGTTCTCAATCCCCAAGGCATGGGTGACACAGGCTAAAACAACACGCAAGCCTTCCAAGGCCACCATCAATGTACCATACATATTTATGGGGTTGGAAATTCATCAAACCGTCCAACTCGAGTTCCATGGCCACACGCTGTGCTACAACAGCATCGATGCAGGCCGACACGGAGGCCACCGGCAAGAGCTTTCACTTCAAGCCGGCCCTCTACAAGGCAAAGACGAACAAGCATTTATGCTTGATAGAGATGAGGCGTCACGCTTCTTATCTCTAGTCGAAGGAGTAGCGACCGGCAAATACTTTTCATGGCACAACGGGTCTCAGCTTATGCGAGAAACTCCAGACGTTGGCACGCTCGAGGATGAAGTCACAGAGGATCAATTGTCATCACTAGATGCTGAAGCTGAGGATTATGAACATGTTCAGAGCATGGGATTTGAACAGCTGCAAAATACTGAGCATGAAAATGACCATTCCTCGACCGAGAAAGCCCCAGAACCATCTGAGGACTTGCAATCTCCTGAACCTGACACGACGAAAGAGCCAGAGCCCGAACAAAAATAGTAAGAAAAGAAAAACAAGATAGAATTTTGGTTATCAAGAGTGCAGCCACGGTGTCGGGAGCAAGGACATTCCAACGGCGTTTTTAGATGAAGCAACGATTCCCCTCTCACGATGCCATGTATATAAACACATGATACACATATATAGATCTATAGTCCTCACAGAAATTTGTACGACTAGTTTTAGAGATGGAAATGAGTTGGACCTTTTGAGTAAACAGCTAACGATGATGACTTCAAAGCAACAGCTGAGTGG